AGACTCGAGGCGAAGGACAAAATTACTTCTGCCGAGTTTGAGTTGGTCAACGGTCTGTTGTTCCTTGAGAAGGCCGGGAATAAACGTTTGTGTGTTCCCAATACGGAGTCTTTGCGTAATTTGTTTTTAGGTGAGTGTCATGATGCCACCGGACATTTTGGCTTCAAGAAGACTGCGGCCGCAGCGGTTCTGGTGGCCCACGATGATGAGAGATGCCAAGCTGTACGTGGAGACTTGTCAGCTCTGTCAAAGAGACAAGCCCCACACATAGGCCCCTCTTGGGCTCCTCAAGCCCCTTCCGATACCGGAAAGGCCCGGTGAGAGCCTGTCCATGGACTTCATGGACACACTGGTCACCAGCAAGAGTGGAATGAGACACATCTTTGTCATTGTGGATATGTTTAGTAAGTATGCGAGGTTAGTTGCAATGCCGAAAACAGCAAAGACTGAGTACGTCATTAGACTATTCAAGGAGAACTGGGTCAGAGATTTTGGATTACCAAAGTCTATCGTGAGTGACCAGGATGTCAGATTCACTAGCGAGTTGTGGAAGGCTGCAGCTGCAGAACAGGGGACACAGCTGCAGATGACCTTTGGAAACCACCCAGAGGCCAACAGCCAAGCAGAGCAGCTGAATCGCGCTGTACAACACCTGCTGCGGCATTACATGAAGACCAACCAGGTGGGCTGGGATGAGAAGCTTGCTCTCATCGCCAGCTTGTACAACAACGCTGTGCACAACGCCACAGGGGTGAGCCCTAATAAACTGCTACTAACTTTCAAGCCTAGACTGCCCCTAGACTTTCTATTACCTGAGAACCAACAAACTGCTGCACCGGGTACACTAGAATTTGCTTATCGATATGAACAAACGATGCAGCAGGCATGGAACAAATGCAGAAAGCACAAGCGACAATGATAGAGTCTGAGAACAAACACCACCGCCCGTCCACATTTCAGGTAGGGGACTGAGTCTGAGTCAAGTCCTCAGAACTGGGACAGGAGCACGGTATTTCCCGTAAGCTCATGCCACAGTACTTTGGACCATGGGAGGTTCTAGATGTCGTTGGGGATGAACCGGATGGTCCTTCTTATGTTGTTCGCATCCCTGGTCACCTACGCACATATCCGGTATTTCACGCCTCAAAGCTTGCACCGTTCGGAGAAACTGATCAGTTTCCCTCTCGTCGCTCTATGCTGCCCCCAACCATGGATGGAGAGGTTGACATCGACGACATCGTTGATCACAGGGAGATGCCAGTTGCAAGACCAACAGGCCAGGGACGTCCTCCAAAACCGAAGCTGCAGTACCGAGTTCGGTTCAGACATCACACTGATCCAAAGGAGGATAGGTGGTTCACAAGGGAGGAACTGATGCAAACCGCTCCACAGGTTGTCATTCACCATGAGAAGTCTCTGCAAACAGGAACGCGCCAGATTATAAAAGATTGAACTTCTCAGAGGACTAGCGAAGTATGGAGGAGGGAATGCGAGGCATAGGCCTCAGTAAGCCTTACTGGGCCCCTATTTGCAACAGGTCGGCCGCCCTAAGTGAAGGCACGTCCGACAAGACGACAAGAGGCCTATTTTTGACTACTTTGCAACTGGGGAAAATTCAGGCAGTTGCGCAGCGTCAGTTGGTTGAAGGTGCCCAGGCCCTGGCCTCCTTTATCGACTGTATCTAAGTCAGGCCCTGGGCGAGATACGCAGCATAGGCCCAACTCAGACAGCGGGCACTTGGGCATGGGTAACTCTTGGTGGCCCTGGGCCTGGTTCGTTTGGTCTGAGGCTCAGCCTCCCTGGGCCTAGCGGAAGCTTCTGAGGAGGGACCCAGCGCAGCCAGGCTGCACGCACGCAGGCTGGCAACTTCCATTTAGGAAATGGCAACGCTCACGGGCGAGCTGGAAGGAGCAGGCAGCCAAAGCCAAGCTGCGCTGCTGTATGCTGGATGGGGCGCATGGTGGTCCTTGGGTGCAAGTGGCATCTGTGAGTTGGGGGACGAGGTTGTGAGTGATACAAGAGACATACCTAGTGCTTGACGCGTGCGGCATTGGCCGAGGTCTGCTCGTACTTGGGAAGCTGTTGACATCATCAGCGGCATTGTAGTCTAGGCTAGATATGATCTGCCATTCGTAGTCTGGGCGCCAAGCGCCAGATAGGATATCAACATTGGTTCTTTGTTGATGATGATGAGACTATTCCAGCATTGTCAATTATGAGCTTTTGGTGTGCTCTTATTTGGGGAAACTCGTGATGCGATTCTGCTTTTGGTTCGAGGTCACGACTATCTGGTCTCATGTGTATGATGCTGTTTGATTGCTGAAGTTCGCTATTGCTCATCTTCCTTGCACGAATTATAAAAAATAAAAAACGAAAAACGGTTAAAAAAAGAAAAAAGAAAAATAAATAAAAGAAAAGCAGGATTTTTTTTTTTCATTTTTTTCATGACTGATCCTCCTAACAATTTTACACAGGTTCTTCGACTTCTTCTTTTTCTTCTTTGCTGTTTTTTTTTTTTTTTTTTCCCCTTCTTTTTCTCATGGCAACCGCGGACCCGGACCCGGACATGTTTGGACCGAGGCCCAGACAACTGGTCCAGATGTCCGGTAATCCGGAAAGGCACCGGACAACCGGACATGACTGGACCCGGACCGTCCGGACCGGTGCACCAGACAAAAAAATTGCCCGGACCAAAAAAAAAAAAAGAACAACAACAACAACAACAACATTAGTAATAAGCAATACTAACCACAGCTTACTGTCTTTCACTATTCACAACTTGCCAGCTCAATAGAGTCAATACTGTCACAGACATTCACAAAGTCTCAATGCAACATAAGAAAGTTGAAACCAGTTCTCAACAGACAAATTCCAGGTCACTTCAGAAAAGAGTACGAAAATCAGAAAAAAAACAGAACTTTGAACTTCGAAGTTAGACTTTCTAATTCATATTCATATGAAAATTGAAAATTTAAACTGTGAAGTTATTCAGGTCTGCGTAAGAAGTACTAAGAACAGATCTGAGATCTGGTCAGGACCAGATCTAAGACGGGATCTCAGATCTGACCAAAATCCTCGCTCTCTCTCTCTCTCTCTCTCTCTCTCTCTAGCTTGATGTTCTGTGGCGCTTCACAGCCAGCGCTTCATTTTTGGAATCAGACTCATCCTCATCTAATGAACTACAGCATAGTACAACATCAGAAGCTGCTGTTGGAAGCGTCTGGCGGCGTCCGGTAGGCCCTGAAACGACCAAAAAATACCGGGGGCATTTTTGGGGGCCGGCCTAGGACCTGAAAAACGTCCTAGGCCCCCCCCAATTGAATTTTTCCTGAGTGGGGATCCAGGCCGCCCGGTGACCGGCAGAGGCCCGGGGGAGGTCCCGGGCGGCCTGGCCAGGCAGGGCACCCGGTTGGGGGCCGGGCCCCCCCAGCGCACTTACCTGTCGGGGGATTCCGGACCCCCTTAGAGTGTGTGTGTGTGTGTGTGTGTGTGTGTGTGTGTGTGTGTGTGTTATAAGCGTCCCCCACAACAACCCCTATTCCAACCAGATGAGTAGAACCGGACTGAGTCCGCCCAAACAGGCAGCACGAATCATAATAGAACCATTTTGAACCATGTTTAGCTAGGGTTTCTTTGGGGCAACAGCTCCTCTTTCACTTTGCCTCGC